GCGACGCGGCTCGGCCGGCCGGGTCCCCGGCTGAGGCTCCACCGACCCACCCCTCGGGCAGGGGAAGGGGCGTTCGCCTGTATGTCTGGAACACACAAGGCAGCGGCCTGAAGGACCGCCAATAAAGCCACTCCCTCTCCGGCTCAGGAGTCGTGTGGTCTTTCAGCGTCCCGAAGCAGACGGGGCGGCCCCTGGGGCTGCGGGGGGCGGCCAGGCGGGAGGACACAGAAGCGGCCAGGGGGAGCCATGGGGGGCTGCAGCCTGGCCGGAGCCCCCCATCCCGCAGACGAGGGCTCAGACCCACCCAGGCAGGGAGGGGACCACAGTGGATCAGGTCGCCAGCCGGTGGCGGCCACTCGGTGTGGGGCTGGGAGGCAGGACGTAGGCCCCCACTGGCGCATGTAGGGCCGTGTCTCAGCGGGTGCCAGCGTGTCGCGGTGGACCGCTCTAGCCCCCTGCCCATCCACAGCATGACAGAAGGCACAGGGATCCGAAGGGTTCTTGTCAGCCGGGCGCTCCCTGCGAGACGGACTGGGGGGGCAGTTCCTGCAGGGGCCAGAAGGGGCCAGCAGGAAGGGGGCGCTGTGCTTGTCGGGGTGCCTTGCCTCGCGGAGAGCAAGAGCCCCGCGGGTCCCCTGGCCAGCCCCCGGCCCCTTTCCCTCCCTCGCACGCGATGGGCCCTCTCCTGGGACCCCCGTTGTTGGAGTGGCGGGTGGAGCGGACTTCCAGCCGGAGCCCCAAAGGGCAGGACAGGGCTGCCTGTCGCCGGGGGCCCCTGCCGCTTGGCTCAGAGGCACCCTCCACGGCCTGCTTCCCACGACCAGCCCTCACAGCCCCCGTGGCCCATTCGGGAACCGGAAGCGGGGCTGGGGATGCTGCAGGGCCTCTCCCAGTGGAGGGAGGCGTGCGGCCGACTGGGGAGCCCGGCCTGATTAGGGCCGGTGCTTTTCAGCCTAGTCCTGAGCGGAATCAGGCGCAAGTAGCCAGGTGGCCGCACTCGCCGATCACACCAGCGATTCGGGATGGTCCTAAGCCACAGGGTGGTGGGAGGTTGCCAGGGGGTCTCTCCGGGCTGGGAGGACGCGCACCAGCAGGGCAAATGCCGGCCAGCTTAAGCAAGCAGAAGTAACGCACGCTGGGGGAAAAGCCCCCTCGGAGCACAGGCCGATGGGATCTGAGCCGGCAGGGACTGAGCAACGAAGGGACCTTGGCCACAGGGACAACGTAGTGGGAATGTCGGCCATGAAGAAGGCAAAGTCCAGCGGAGGCGCAAGTGGCAAAGAAAGCGAAAATAAAATTGCCAAATACAAATCTTGGGTGCGACCGCGCTTGGAATATTACGCTCAATTCTGATGGCTCTGGGCTGGAGCAATTCTGCAATGAGGGACAGACCAGCTTAGAAGAAAGGCGAGTCGGGGAGACGTGAGCGGTGCTTGAAATTATGCACGGGGTGGAGGAGGAGATGTGTTCTTCCTCTCCCCTAATACTAGATCCCGACAAGGTTGTCCGAAAGAGCTCCTCGGACGTCGGCCGGCTATCGGGAGAAGTTCCTGACTCTGAGCGCAGGGGAGCCCGTGAGCGAGGGCGGCCCTGTGCTGCCCCCCACCGGGGGCCTTCGAGAGGCCCCTGGGCAGCCGCGTGAGGACGGCTTAGCTGGGGCTCCGGCAGTGAGCGGCAGGGGCCGGCCCCAGCGGCCCTCGGGCCCCTTCCAGCTCCCCGAGCTGTGGCTGGTGCAGAGAAAGTACACGCTCTGGTGCCTTGCGAGCTGTGGTGGCTTTTGAAGGGCATTGGACCCGTCCCTGGAGGAGAAGCCTATGCGTGGCTCTTACAGCTGGTGCCGAGGGATCCTGCAGGCAGGCGGGCGGGCGGGCGGCATCGTGTGAACGGAGTGCCACCCGAGTGAACGCTGGCCGATCCAGCGGTGCTTACGGCGGGCTCCACACAACACAGCAACTCACACTCAAGGGCTGAGTGTGGGGTGTGCAAGCCATGGTTTGCTGCCCACAAACAACCCATGTTACAGCCTAGCGACAAGAAACAGGTTCTCTTCGTGGGTTGCCCTTGGCTAAGAAACCGTGGCTTGCGCTCAGACAATTCAACAACCCCTGTTGGAACAGCAACCCACGGTGGCTGCTGCAGTTCAGTGTGACACAAAGACCGGGGGAGGGCGGGTTGTTGCCCCGGTTAACAAGCCATGCACAAGCCAGGGCTGCTTTCCGTTGGCCAGTCTGTCAGCCACGACAGCCTCCTCCGTCTCCTCCCGGCAGGGTCAGACAGTAGGAAGAGCGGCGCCCGCCTGCTGCCGCTTGGCACACTCGGGCTGAGCGCCAGCGACACGCAAGCAGGGGCCACGCACGGCGGCCCGACCCAGCGCACCGCAGCCCTGCCCCGCCAGAGGGCCGGAGCGAGGCTGCGGACGCTCCCGGCTCAGCCACGCGGGGCCTCCTGGCCGAGACGCAGCCCTGCGGCCCGTGCGCCCCGTGCCCGCTCACCAGCCCCCGGCTGAAGCAGCACGCGCGGCCCCCGCCCTGCCCACCCCAGTGGGTCTCGGCCATCGGGAGCCGGCAGCGCCGCCCCGCGTTCTACGCAGGGCAAAGGGCGACGCCACTGGGGGGCACTGCAGCCTCCCGGACACGCGGCCGCCCACCGAAGGTGGCCACCCGTCACAGAAGGCGTCCAGAGAGAGAAACGGCCGCCTTCCGGTGCCCGGCTGGGGACAGAGGCCGCGGCTGGCGCAGCTTTTCTCAGGCCGCGTGTGTGAATCGGCTCCCCCGGGCAAGGTCGTCGGGGCTGCCGGCCAGCAGCTCCTCTGAGCAGGCCCCGTCCCGTGGCTTCGGTTGGCACCGTCTCCACTTCCGCTCGCAGGCCCCCCCCCCGCAGTGGCACACCCGTAACTGCGTGTTCACCTTCCACGCATCTGATGAGGGATGGCAGCCCCACTTGTGGGGCCCGCCGGATGGTTTGAACTACAACCCCCAGAATCCTTGCCGTCGGCCATTCTGGCTGGGCCTAGTGATACAGCTGACGGATAACAAGCCGGAGGGTGCCGGCTGTTCGCGGTGCTGCGGGCTCCCGTCTGGCAAGGCCTTCCGCAGAGGGGCACGGGAGCCACGCCGCCGCGGGAGAACGTCCAGCGGGGTCCGGAAGGCCCGGCACGTACCACGCAGCGCCGCCTCCACGCCCTCCGGACGCTATTTGCTCTCAGGCGCTGGACGGCTGCTCCGAAGTCGTCAGCAAGGCGGGCTTGGCCTTGGGACACAAACAAAAGATTACATGCGCCTAGCGCCCCCCTCCCGGGCGGGAGGCCACGCACCAGAGCCGCGTTGTGCAACCGGGCAGGCTCCCGCACACCCTTGTGGCACACCGCCTTCCTGGTCAGCAGCACGGAGCACGGGAGACGCGGCTTCTGTGGCTCGAAGGCCCGGATCGCCTCCCAAGCGCCTGCCTCCCTTCCCCTTCCCTGCCAGAGAAGCCTCCCGTGGCTGGAGAGGAGCCGGCACCAAGACTCTCCTCCCGCTGCCCCTCTCCAGAAGTTTTCAAAACAGCATGGGGGGCAGTGGAGCAGCGGGGGGGCTGGGAGCAAAGTCCAGGGCAGGGGCCCCGAGGGACTGTCCCGGGGCACCTGCCCACAAGGCCCTGGAGGCCAGCTCCGCGCTGGACCTGCCCACACGACGGCCCCCGGGCAGGGCATGGAGTGCAAAACCGCCCAGCCTCAGAGGGCGATTGACTGGCCGGAGTGGCGGCCCCGCCAGAGGCGAAGAGGCTCTTGCGGCCGGTGGGCCGAGTCCGGTGTGGGGGAGCTCCTGGGTTCGGGGCACCCGGGCCAAAAACGCTCCCATGTGTTAGTACCAGGGCCGCTGCCCAGAGCTAGACAACCGAAGAGGGCAGCTTCTGGAATGGGGGGGCAATGCAGGAGCCAGGAAAGCACAGGAGGAACAGTGCCGGGGAGGGGAAGGCTGTCCGGGGGGAGCCAAAAGGTCAGGCTGGGAAGCGGGACAAGCCTGAGCCGCGGCCGAAGACGTGCCCGGATTTGCTGCTCCGGAGCACCAGGCGCGGTGCCTGGGAGCCCCGACCTCGCCGGCCGCAGGCGCCGCTTCCCAAGGCCCGTGCTCCCCGCGCAGGCCGCAAACGCGCGGGGGCCTCGGGGCTGCGGCTGCAGGAGGCTGGCCCGCCGCCCGGGCGCCGCCAAGGCCGGCCGCGGGGTTATCGCGCTATCTTATCGAGGGGCACTTGGGCGCGTGCGGCGGCGCCCTTATCGCGCCCGGCGGGCGGCCGGCCGGCCAGTCCCCCCGCGATGGGGGCCCGTGGCCGCGGCGATCCCGGCGCACCGGCTCCCAACCTGCCGGCAGCGAGCGCAGGTGTCGCGCCCCCGCTGGGCTGCGCCGGGGAGCCGCGCCCGGCCGCCTCCCGCGAGGCCCGGCCCGGCCCGGCCGCTCCCTCGGGGCATCTCCCCGGAAGGAAACAAACGGGCGGGCCGGGCCGGGCCTCGTCGCCCGCGGACCGCGCCTTTGGCGAGCCGGGCAAGGCGCCCGGGGC